GATTCTCTGCTGGCGATGCTCCAGGATTTTCAGCTTGGCATTGAAACATATCACCTCCTGCCAACCAGGAAAAAGAAGCAGGGAAGGAATAGATGAAGAAGAGAAGAAATACTCAGATCCATTCAGTGAAATGATTTTCCAATCAATAATACTGACAATGAACCATTTATTCTGGAAGCATATGAATCACTGCATGAAATCTATCATCTTTTTTATTTTTATTGCTTTTGTTTGGTTTTGATGTTTTCCATCAGTGAGTTTTGGAGACTTTGCAATGGTAGTTAATAATAAACCATAACAATTAATAATAGGCAGCATCTTGAAATTAGGTTAACTGCAGTAAAATATTTCTGATTTTTGTCACCCAAGTTTGGCTAAGAAAACCTATGCTCTTGGGAGAAAAAAATCCATTGCTTGCTGTATTAAAAGCCTAAATACACCCCTGTGCTTGGCACATAAGAAATGCAGTAGTCATATTTTAAAATAGAAAACTGGTAGCAATATCAAATTTAAAATATCCTTAAACAAAGGCAATGTGTTAAGAAAAGCTCTAGCAATCCACAATCTTTAATAAAAATGATATATTTTCTGTAAAGATATGGAACACAGTGACAGCACGGGGTGCAGTGCTGTCTGCAGACAAGAAGCCTGGCCTCGTGTGACTTTTGAGAGGTGCCAGCCACCAAGACGCGAAGCAAGTGACTGCACACTGAGGGCACACCCTCGCCAGCATGGAAGCAATTCCAGTAATAGATCTATCCTCCTTCAAGCCTGTGTGAAGGTCTCAACATTATTCCACTTTTTTCTCTATAAACAAATCTGCTGTGTGGGTGAAGTGCAGTGGAAAACCCACTGCAGAAGGTTTCTCCAAACAAAATAATATCAGAGAACAACATCACAAACTGCCTTAACAAGTGATAAGAGGTAGGAAGAAAAAATACCTTAAAATAATAATAAAGCCTATATCCACAGTTACTCTAAAATACTCAACTTCAGATACTCCTCCTAGTCTTCCATATCAAGAGCAGACTTTTAAAATTTACACACTCCGGGAGATTACACAGATTGCACTCACCTTGCTGTCCCCACCTCGCCGTCGTTGGAGCCTCTCCACATCATCTATCTCATAGACTTTGATCTCAAAGGGTTCCCCCAGGCCCCTCTGCCCACTTCGCAGTGGCCCATCCACCCAGCGGACCCCAGGGCTGTTGGCAGGCTTCCTTGCTGGGGAAGAGGTATCCAGTGACAAAGCTGGAATAAGCCTCCGTCTCTGTGAACCTGCGAATGCAGAAAGTGCCACTGCACATTAGCAGAGTTACTGCCTCTCCTTCCTGCCCCATCTGCAGAGAAATCTACAAATTATATATATTTGGCCTTTCTGCGCACAGAAGAAAATGGAGGGAAAACCCAGGGGAACCATGGGAGCTGTAATGAATTAATTAATGGCCAGTCTCTTCGCGAACGAAGAACCGGGGAAGGTCTTTACACCTTCCAGCCTGCGCATTGGATTTTTTAGGTGAGACACAGTGTGCGCGGAACTGAGCCCACCCTTTAATCCTGAGGTTCATCTGCCGGGGCCAAGCACACTTGGACGGTGGCAGCGAGGTCCTCAGGACGTAGATGGATTGCCTTACAGGGCTAGCGAGCTCCATCTGCCCGGGGAGTGTCCTAACC